TAAGCATCGCCGTTCGCCGTGTCCTCAGGGATGAAGTCGGCGACGGCGACCTCTCGTATCCGGCTCTGGTCCAGGCCATGGTGCGGAGCGAGGGGGATTGGGATGCTGCCTCCTTCTGCGAAGCAGTCATGGTAGCCAAGGAGAAGGCGGGGCCCATGAGGGAATGAACCTCCTCACGCCCCAGCCGTCGCAGGAGACACTCCGGGCACAAGTAGAGTTATTCTAAGTATTTTCATGTGAGTAACCCGCGATTAGTTAATTTAGCATAGTTCGCAGCGAGCCACAGAGAGGGCTATGCTTGGATTCTGTCTAAAGTTACCGGTGTAGCCCAAAGAATTAACAAGCTGAACTGGCAATGGGCCGGTCACATTTGTCGAAAAACCGATGACCGTTGGGGTAGACGTGTTTTAGAATGGAGACCGCGTCTAGCCAAACGTAGTGTAGGGCGCCCTCCAGCTAGGTGGAGTGACCGAGAGCAAAGTGGCTGGTAGTGGTTGAATGCGTAGAGCTGAAGGTCGAGCTCAGTGGCGTGCCATTGGAGTGGCGTATGTCCAGTAGTGCACGAGAACAGGCTGTTAATGACTGATAGCATGGTTCTTTCTTGTAAAAGGTCGGCAATGCACATGTCTTGTTGTCTATTAGTGTTGCAGGTGTCAGGTATCCTTGGGATGCGCTGGTTGCTGTTGCTTTACTATAAAGTGATCAGGCAGCTCGTTTTGCCCGCTAGGTATCTCATAAAAATCTTGTTTTTCATTTGTTTAGTAGTCTAGCTCTTTTATATCTAATCTATTTTATTATTATTTGGAAGTCGCCAAGCTACTGGTTGGTCTGTGCAAGCCTGCACCTGCTGCACTATCGAGGCGTCACGTCACATCGACCGCTGCTTTTGACCATCAGATATCAAATCTGCCTCGTTGGCCGAGTGGTCGCAATTGCGACTGCCGAGCAAGGGGTCTCGGGTTCGAGTCGGGCAAAGTATTACTGGGTTTTTAAAAAAAATTCTCAGTAGTAGCACGGAGTCTGGAACTGTGCCCGGTATATGGCAATAGGCTCACCCCCTATTACATGGGACTCATAACATAAATAGTGAAAAGTGGGTGTTACATTGTACAGTCGTATAATGCGCACCTCTGCCTACCCCTTCGAGGATAAAAGGCGTGATTTTATGTATTTATGTATATCAAATCTAATATAATGAAATATCGAAATAAAAGATTTAAAATATTTCTGGAAATTAAGTTGTTCAAGTTCATCTATAGAGATAAATAAAATTCGAGTGTCTGTTTCTAATATTGAGATAAGATAACCGTTTTTACTACATGCATATGAATATACAAATAACACTTTTTTGTATGTCTATCTGTTTGTAGCGGCTAATCTCTGAAATGACGGGACCGATTTTGCCGGGACTTTTATTGGCAGGTAGTTGATGTCCTAAGGAGTAATAGGCTACTTTTATTTTAGAAAAACGTAGACGAAGTTGGGGTTACAGCTACTTATAAATACGTAGAGGTAGAACATTCAAAGGCTGTCAATGTCATGGATTTCGGTTTACAAAAGAAAAATTAATAAAGTACTTACACAAATGTGTATGTAATTCCTTGTAGAGTTTTAAAATAAATAAGTATGATACTTACGGCGGTCAAAGGGAATTTACTTTAAAAAAATGTACTGAAAAAACTTCATGAAACACTACCTTCACTTGGCGGATGCACTCTCCCGTTCCATGTTCTGCTAATGCAAAACTTACAGAGCCGCGATATTTCAAGCTTTACGTTCGAAATTAGGAAAATTGCGTAAATCCTGTACATTTGTATGATATCCTAAACTTACATGAAAGTAAGATTATGTTATAGTTTATATTTACTAACAACTATTGAAGTCTTGCTGAAGAGCTGAGTATTGATTTTTACCGGTCTGTACCTAGACAATAGTTAGGTATATTGTAGCATTGAACGCAGGGGTCGGAAACATTGTGCTTGTTAATTAGTTAACAACAAATCACTATTTCTATTCGAATTATTTTTGTTGCAATGTAATACTTACCTAAACTGCACGATTAGCGCAGGGGATGAAGTGCTGCACTGCACCGGATGTTGCGCAATGTGTCGCACGGAACAACTCTTTGTTCTTCTGGGTCTGGGTATGATGTGTACGTCAGCACATCTCCGCGTTAGACTCTACTCCTCAATTTCATATTCTTTATCTTAATATCTCTAAATTAGATAAATTTCTTTATTTGAAGACATTTGATTTCGGAACCAAAACACGAAAAACACTTAATACAATGAACAATAAATAAGTCTGTTCGAAGACATACAATGAATAAGATACCTACATTAGTACATTACACTACTGTCACATCGCAACCCTTGCTGCCAAACTTTTGCTAATTAGTGAATTGGTCTGACCCTAACGTCCTTGTACTCGTCTCACAGCAACACCCTCATCGAATCGAACCTCGGACTGGGGAGGGTGCCCCCTTCATACACATCTGTGAATGTAGAGCTGTGAGTCATCCACAGACGCATCTTATTTATAGCGTAAGTTATTATTTATTTAGGTTGTACTCGTAATACATTATTATCAACTAAGTTTCCTCATTGTTCCATTTGTACCTATGATATATGTTTCTCAATGTAATATCTTTATGGCAAATCTTTATGAGAACATTTAAATTATTAACAAAAATAATGATAGTGATAGCTATCCATACAGGTACTTATCCATATTATTATTAAAATAATTTATAATATCAACAGCCTATAAGTGCTTACTGCCGACCAAAGGATGACTGAGTGACGTATCACTGACACGGAAAACGTATGAGCATTATTCGCCACGTTTCCAACTAGGGGATTAGACGTTAGCGTTATGTTCCATGTGTGCCACTCGAGGAAGGGAATCAGCCTCCCAGTGGTGGGACCTGCCGCAATACAGGGCTAGGTCGAGGCCTGTCGAATATGGTGAATCTGCAAGGGAGTTCCGGGTCTCGACTATAGGCACAAGACGAACACCGCTATGGTTTTAACTGGAAAGACGGCCTCTGATGGCACACCCACGATGTGGAAAGTCCAGGAGGATTCCCATCGCGCAAAAAATAACACCACGCGTAAGGGTTTATTGTCGATGTTAAACTTATAATTATAGATCTAGGATGGTACTGTACTTTCAAATGACATAATTTTAGTTAAACTTTGTTTGTAGGTAGGTACCTACAGCAAGACAGCAGTTAAGGTTCGTGTCGCGAAACACTGTAACATTTTTTTGTAAAATAAACACGATATCGAAATCCATGTTGCCGTTGAGAATTCTGCAACAGAAAAACTACAATGTCGCTGAAAACCTGAATACCTACACTCTATTGCCGAGGGTGTGGAAACAAGAACCATGTGCTTCCTTGCCTAGTAGTCGTAGTTAAAAATACTATCCCCAAAACAATGTAAAATTTTGTATAATTATGTTAAAACGTCTCACACCTCGTCACACCTTCTAGGAGCATCAGTGAGACGATTGAGCTAATGATTTAACAGGGAATCGATCAGTGCATTCTTATACAAGTTGAACCGGCAGCTTCAGGTGATTATAAGCCGAAATAAAACAGTCAGTGAGAGAGTATTATAAGTACATCTATAACGACTTGAGATCTTTAAAGGAATGTATAACCTCTGACATTTCACCAGTAATGAACTTGAGCCTGGCTGCCAAGTGATGAATGAGGCACTCGGTTTCCCCCAACTTGTTGCTCGTGAGATTCAGTACGTATCGTACCCAGCCCCATGAAGTATACAAACACACAATCCTATTCATGTATGAGGCAGGTAGTAGCAGGTAGTAGAGCGTGCCCCCTTATCTTATAAGTTTGTGCAGGAGGTAGAGGTCGCGTAATTAGTTCGAAACTCGCTTGCCTAGGAGACTAATGTAACTAGTAACTAGTGCAATGACGACTTCTCTATGTTGGTTTGTGGAAAGTGGAAATTTGTTTAAGCATAAAAAGTCCTATTAGTATTATTTATTAAGCTGTTGTAAATGTATCCATTTGCTTGTCATTAGGTAAATGAAGTTTGAATATCAATAAAAGACAAAAATATTCTTAGTATCTTGCACTCGATCTTCGTTTATGGATTTAATTTACTAATTGTAAACAATATAAACCTATTTACATATGTATATGTATAGTGTATATTGTATCAAAGTAGTATGTTGTGGAGAACTGATGGCAGCGCCTGCAAATCAACTATTGACTATGACATGAGAATATCGGTGTCGATATCGTGGCGGCGACAGATCACACAAATATAGTAGGTAATCGTAGTACATAAGCGTTTTAGATAAATCTTGCATGTATTTCACTAACGTATGACCTTATACATAGGTACGTTGTCAACCAGCTACGAGTAGACACTTCTCTGTGGTCATTTAGCTCCCCTCTGAACAAATCGCCCCATTACGTCATTACGTCCAATAAATGCAATGCAACTCTAGGGTACCTGGTTAGTGGCAACGATGCGCCTCGACATTCATCCAACCAGATATATTCGACTTGTGTCCTTTTTTATTGTGTCCTAGCTATAAGAGAAATTAAACAATATTTGCATGGACAAAAAAAAACATTTCAGTTTCCACTTATAATTAGTTTTTAGCAGTTAAGTAAGTACTAATGAATAATGATTCTGTTCCTTAAACAGTAAACAAATATTAAGGATAAAAATGTTGTAAGTAGATAATAAATTATGGCATAGTATAATACTGTAAACACAAAGTAAGGAATAGTTCAGTCTCATTCTCATTGTGACTTCAAAACTAACCAAGTAGGTAAGCAGTTATCTGCGCGATCTGTCTAGTCTTGTTTGTGTGAGCTAATAGTAATAAGAATACCTATTAAAACGGTTCTAAGGTTCAAAATCAACAAATAATAATAGTATAAAATATAGAGTGAACTTTGACCTATATTGTTAAGTAAGCCGCGCCGAAGGTTGACGATCCCCAGTTAGCGCCTGTGCGTTGGAGCTCGAGTATTCTAGATCGGTCCATTTGATCCTGGACGCTGCTGGAGAGCTGTGCTGCGCACCGTGCTCTCGAACATTATCTGAGGACAAGTCACCAAGTCAGTGGGTCATCATGACAGCTGCTACGCCCGCCAAGCCACCTCCACCAGGTCAGTGATAGATACTTCATGCGTCGGGTTATAGTAATCTTGGATAACGCCCCTCTGAAGACAATGTCACATCAAGAGTGCATCCTGTGCATCACGGCTGAATTGGTGGTGCATGATCGGCTACTGTGTACAGTTGTTCAAGTAGCTATCTATTAAGCCATGACATGTGTAATGTGTATGTAATTGATATTTTCGTAATAGATTAATACTTAGCGGTTATTTTTACCACCGTAGTAGGTGGTGTAGATATTGATCGGAGTCTCGCTAGCGCCGCCGTGTAGGTGTTCTTACAAACAGTTGTTGGCTCCTTAGCGACTTGTATTGTGATCGCGAAATCTTTTGTTTTGTTGCCATGCTCTTGCTGGCGTATAATTAGGTCAGCTAGGTACTTGTGAATACGTATAAACTTCCTCCCTACTTTTCTATAGAAAGTTTGACGGGCTTTTGGAAGCCTTCTGCTTCTTATTTCTAGTTTTCACAATGGGGGCGAGGGGTGGGGTAACCAATGGGAGTGGCACCCCCACTTAGTGCTACTGTACCTACTTACTGAGCGCTGTAATTACTGACGCGGAATAGTTACAACTTCCCTACTCCACCTAACCAGTCTTAGCTGATGCTGCCTTAAAATGACCTTGTCTTTATTTTTGTTTTCAGAAAAGAAAAAGACAAAGCCCAAGCGTCGCAAGCGCAGCCAGAAGAAGAAGCAGAAGGAGAACGGTCAGACAGCCCAGTTCAACTACATCATGGAGCGCCCGCCGTTCACAGAAGTTGAAAATTAGATATTCAACATCTATGTCGTCATACGCAGAAATGCGTCTATCCATGTTACGCACTTCTTTTATTTATGTATCTACTTCTACCGGACAGTACAACAGGAAAATGATCTCAAGACCCATTAAGTGGGGAGTTCCGCTGTCGGGAGTCGCAGATTGCAGCGATCCTGTGGACATCAGTGGAGACAAGGAGGGCTATGAACATCACGGTCGGCTAAGTGAATATAACGGAGAGATTATATGAGATCGGTTTATATAAGGGTTCGTTACAACAACTGGAGGAGATTACAAGAAGGATTATCACCGGGCGACAGCGTCCTTTGTGTGAAGTAGATACTAGCTGGTCTGGTTATCGTTCTGAGTAGATTAGGTACTGATTCTGGTACGCCTACGCTTTTAAATTGTTAATTTTGTCAGTGTTGTGAATTTTCTGATTATAATATGCATCGTAGCTGAATAATGTTGTTTCATTTAATCAAACATCGGCTTGAAAAAATACTAGGAACATTTCTGTTGAAATAACACATACTACAAGTATCCTGAAGGTACACACGTACTTTCTTTACCTGCACAATTAGGTACTACAAATGTCACCGTTCTGCTGTCTTCTAGGACTTAAAAAAATGTTCATCATTAATGAAAATTCTTATAAATGGCTAGTTTTCATTTCCATCGCTTAGTGTATCTAATAATAAAGCGAAAATCATCTGGACACCTTTTGTCTAGGACTTCAGGTTCGCCTGAAAATGAGCTCTAAAGGTCAGTTGGCGGAGTAGGAAAAAAGCGCTTTTCAGCGTTCGGCGGCCGCTGCCGCGGCACCGCTCGCTACGCTCGCTCTCGTCGCGCCTTGTGGGGGTCACAGTTCTAACCTACTTTAATAACCAAATTTTTAGGTATACTAAACGATAGACATGAAAAACCAGCCACTTATAAGAATTCTCATTTTTCATGAAAAATTTTAAGTCCTAAACTCCTAACACACCCTTTGCAACAGTCCAACCGCCGGAGACGAGGTAACCAGTTGAGTCGTCCGAGGCTCCATGTAGTTTTTGTATACTTTACACTATAGGTAATCAACAAATTTAATGTTTCTCCCTTGACATCATTTATCTAGGGTGAGTGTAACAGTGCCAATGTCAAACTCAAAAGCATTCATTTCAATTAAACCATAATTTGGTACTCTTGAAATATCATCAAACATAAAATAAATAATAGTCTGTCAGTGAAACTATGTGCTTCTTTCAAAAAGTAGATCCGGGAGGTGAATAAAGACCGGCCACATCAGAAACCATTACACCAGTACACCATTTAAATTAAAATATTAAGGCATCATCACAGCATAGTATTGTGAATAGAGCCAAACTCAGCCCCAGAATAGGACTCATGTGAATCTGTTGATACTATTAGAGGTAGGTACTTGTGTAATTAGACAATGGTGCTGGCTTGTGATAACATACTCTTCTCAGAGTAGTGAAAAGTGCTGAACTCAAAGTTAGTTATTTTAATTTAAAAAGGCTGAAGCCTATTTACCTGCTGAATAAATACAAGTACATATTTATGATTAAAGTAAAGAAAGTAAAACATTTAGGAGTCTGTTTATAAATATTTTATTCTAAGATCAATAAATAAGTTAACTTAATACAACTCAGTAATATCTAATAGTGGGATTTCTATTTGGCCAAATAATATTTCATTGTTTGTATCACAGTTTCAAGTTCATCTCCCCTACAGCAGTACTTAATTCTTCCAAACTCTTGAACACATGTTCCTGCTGTGGCTCGGGTGCTTCGTCCTCCAAGTCAGGGTTGACGAGAAGAGCATGCCAGCCAGCAGCCCGAGCCCCTTGATAGTCCTTCACAATATCATCTCCTATGTGGAGTGCTTCTGATGGTGTTATCGGCACCTTGCACTTTTCAATAGCGCTCTTGAATATCCTCTTATCAGGTTTGCTGTATCCAATCTCGTAAGATGTTACAATAAAATCTAAATGTTTCTTTAAGCAAACATTGCTCAGTATATCATTAAGACGAGGATCAAAATTTGATATGACCCCCACACGTATTCCAAGTTTCTTGAAGTGATGTAATAGTTTCTCCCCTCCAGAGGCGCACTGCCAACATTTTTGTGTCTTAAATTCTTCAATGAGCTGCCGAGCAACGGTGTTCACATTCGTCTCACATGGAAGATAGTCTTTCAACGTCATGCTAACTACTTGAGTCCACCACTCCTCCCATTCTATGCTTTTTCTTCCAAAGTTGGGATGTTTTTCCCGCATAATCTGGAAACTTTTTATAAACTTAGCTTTGACTTGATCTTCAGAACCTTTGAACCCATAGTCTTGGGCGACTATGGCGTAATACTGCCAGGCAGGCACCTTGAACTGCAGCAGAGTGTTGGTAACATCAAATGTTACTAACTTGATGCCACGTAAACTCATAATGTAACTGACTGATCTCAATATTCTTTAAGTGGCACAATTAATCGGTTTATAATTTGTTTATCCTTTTTTTATGTTTTTTTACTTTTTGTTTGTTTTTATTTCCTACTTACTTTTCAATTTTTGACGTTTTATCTAGTGTTTTACTTTGAAGTTGACAAAAATGACAAATGACAAATAACAACGACAACGACATTGCGACAAGGGCTTAATTTTATTAGACATTTTGACCTATTATAATAATACTAATTTTCCAATAAGAACATTATTACAATAGTAAAATGACATGGTTCGACCACTTTCTATTGTTTAGGTTCAGTAACATGATCCAGCTATGTATAATTATAGGAAACCGTAAAATAGAAGGGTTTTTTTTTTAAGGGGGGAAAATTTATCGAATGACTGTTCCCGCCTGGGAGAGGCGGTAGGGAGTGTCAGACTCTTACTGACTAAAAACCACCCCGTTCCTTCTCCTGCACGTCGAGTCGGAGCTCCGGTTACCCGTTAGGTTCTCCGCGACAAAATAGAAGGGTAACTTTCACATAAATGAATTTCGTTTGGTGCAACCAACCTTTATTAACGTCACTGATAATACTGACAATGACGTTTGTTTGAGATAATTTCTGTCTGTCAGAATAATTTGATCAACCAAACATTGAGCAATAACAGTTCAAGGAAATATAATTATTGTCGACTATAGAAATTACTTTTGTTATTGACACGAAAACATTTGAAAAAAGTGCAAAACGGTGTGAATTTTATCCTGGAAACATGGTGTACATTAAAGGAGGTAAGTGATATTGTGCATACAACATGTTGGTTCCATTGGTCTAAGTTCTAGAAACATTAGGTATATTAATGTAGGCCACGTCAGTAAATCGCACCCTGAGAACAAAAGTGACTCAACTCAAAATTGCCAATTTTTGGAAATAGGCGAAAATGTGTCCGTCGTATTAAGCATTTTCTGTTCATTTTACAATAACACTAAAACATGGTAACAAAAGTTATGAATTTCTTTTGAAATATATTTGTCTTGTCATAACAACTCACGGTGCAACACTGATTTCGTCACTTTGATTTGGGCGCAGGGGGAGGGAACGGTTGAGGGACAAAGAGACCGAAATATATCTCTATCCTTTTCTTACCTTTATTGGCCAGTTTTCGAATTTAACTATGATTGAGTATACTTTTTTGAGTCATTCTGTAAACTTAACTCATTTAACCAACATTTTGAAATCGGTCACTTTCGTTCTCAGCGTGCGAAATGTGAATAATATTGTATTGTTGAGTTATGTTTTCAGGAAGTCGGGATTTTATCTTCATTAGCCTGCTGACCTTATTATCTTTGCTTGCTAATAATGATTAAAGAGTAACAGTGACATCAGGTATTATTGTTAAACACAAATAATTAATTACTTAACAAAGATTAATGTTTGTAATATTTGTAATATTTGGAGTCACACCCACACAATATTCATAAAGGAAATGATTAGTCTATCTGTATCATTTCTTGAATATTAAACACTGTGTCTAAATGTAATAGGTATCTTAGAAACCAGTGTATATGAAGTAGTATATTGTACAAGTAATACACAATAGGTGGTGTTTGTTTACAGATGGGACAGTGGTGGAGCGCACCCCTTTTAGCTTGTTTGGATGGTTTTGGGGCATTGTGAACTTTATCTTCTTATTGTGAGTATTCTAGTTACTTGTAGATTCCAGGTTTCTCATTCTATAATTGCAATTTTTACAAAACACAACTATGCAGAATACTGGCTTGTGTTGAATAATTTAATTAGGTTTATATTGCTACTGATTCTTGAATATTGGAGTGTCAATATTGCCATAGGGTAGAGTGCACACATGCATATTTTTCTCATCTATAACATACCTCCACATTTTAATATAACATTAATGTATAAAAATATTGTATATGAAGTAGTATTTTAATGGAAGATTCATACATCATTGATTGGAGATGTAGACTATAACTGATCACAGGTCTTACCTACACACAAAATAAAATTTTGCACACATGTCATTGCATTAGACACCAGTGGCATAACTATGCTGTCCAGAGCCCAAGGCTAATTCATCAGATGGGCCCCTGTTACTAATAAAAAACAGAAGTTCAAGCTGGGGACCTGTAGTATTTTGCTCGCTTGCACCCTGCAGTTGCAACCTCTGCCACCACCACTGAAAGCATGCGTCACTGTATGCTGCTGGGGTGTACACAATGTTATATCCCAGTAGCATAAAATACCAGCACCTAGTTTTACCATATGGTACATAAGATAACAATTGCTATTAGTTGGTATTTAGGTATGTAGTAGTATTTATATTCAGTCACAATATGTTCCAGGTTCCAGACTCTGATCAACCCTAACTACAGCAAGCATGGAGACAAGTACGTGAGAGACTTCAGGCCTCCAGGCAGCGGGTATGTACACCATTATTCATTTGTTAATGAATTTCTTTGTTCTTGTAATACTCAGTTCTCTGACATTCTTGTTTTAACCGATTTCAAAAAAAAATGAGGTCCTTAGTTCGACATGTATGTTATTAATACATTGATATATTATCATACCCAAAATTTGTTCATACAAAACTAGTCTCTAAATATCAGAAATAAGGTCTATCATGGAGTTAGTGGAGAGCTGTCACCAGTGACCACTTGGGGATTGAACAATTATGTATGTTGATCTATGATTATTTCGCAATTGATTGAACTAATTTTCTACTGTACGATGTTTCACATATATTATGAGCAGGTTTTCCCGCCGTACTCCGAGTCATTTAATGGCTACTTAACCCAGTCCTTAGCAATTGTTTTCGGAACAAAGTCGTTACTAAGGAATAGTTTAAGTAAGCATTAAATGTCTCTGAGTATTGTAGTTAGTATATTAACAAAATTATTATTCGTCTTCAAAAAAAGGAGAATGAAGTTGGTCTTCGAAATATAGTATACATTTACTTTCAAGTATTGCATCACATTATGATTTTCACTCACAGTCAAAAGTCATCACTCCCAATATCTTAATACTTCAATATCAGTTATGTTGTTGTGGAGGAACCCGAGGAACACAGTTACAACAGCAGACTATAGTTTCTTCATTTATATTTGCTTGGTACTTATGTTGTGTAGAAGACAGTGATAATGTTTCACTCAATAGAGATCGTCATGTAGCTGATCATATATCCTGAATCCTGAACCTGACTCACAAGGCTTTAAGACCTGAACTCCATGATCAAACATTACGATTATCAATATCAAAATGCCTATGAACATCAACTTTGTATTGATTTCTATTGCTTCCATTTCCAGGCCACCAAAACCACCATCGAGGAAGTTCGGCGGCTTCGGACCCTCGGGTTCAGGTCCCTCTCCACCTCCAATGGGAGGATGCGGCTGTGGGTAACCCCAACAACACTATACACGACTGTAACCAAGTAACATTATATAACTTTAATAAATAATGGCTTCTAGGTTTAACAATTTAAGCAATTTCCCATCAGACACACTTTGGACTTGTATTACATACATTTTATGTAAGAAAATCTATAAGCATGCATGAAACAACCATGGTGCTACAACCATGTATTAAAATACTGTAATAATGTGCAATGCAACAGTTATTGTTGTAGGCGTACAGGTCAATCTGTATGTTCGCAATTTCAAACAGGTCCCTGGATAATGTTCTATGTGCGATAGTTAGCAAGATGTGTGGGCAATGTCACATTACGATATTTAGATCTGAGTGTTATATAAGTATGTAATAAAATCTTCTCTTGTCGTATCTGCCACACAATTTGCCCGCTACACTAACTGTCTCAACATCACCACTTATATATTATTTCGATAAATATTCCACATTTGTCTTTCTTAGATTATGTTAATTTAGTTTTACTAAAAATACTTAATGATTCCTAAAGTTAATTGTTTAGTTAAAAATTATGCTTTATTTCGAGTTTAAAATGATAAATCTGTTATTGTCATGAATTAAAAATTCTTTATTTTCAAATTCTCTATTTCATATAATTATTTTGACGAAAACACGATGCGTGTCAATCTATCAGCATTATGTTTAATCAATTATTTATCCTCAATTTCCTAATTTCATCTCTGAAAGGTTAAATAAAACACAGTTTGCATCAGATAACTTGTTTATTAACACCACACAACTATTGTATAGACGTCGAAGTAAATAAATAAAATTAACTATAAATACCTAAATGGTCTATTTTATTCCTATTTCATGGCGGTCATTATTGAACCTAGGCAGGTAAGACAACCCTTATTTCCGAAATATAGAAACATACATGAATAACAACATGATACATACATACGGTTGGCGGGTTGGTAGCAACTGCACCAACTTTTAACAATGAAGATAACGCATGGCGCGGTATTGGTCTAGTAATCTACTTGTCTATATCTATGGCCTGCACGTTGCTTAAATAAAATAAAATTATCTTACATTTAACTTAGTAACTCACAGTGGAATTCGCAAGATGGGCAAGTATCTATATTTATATGTTTGCAGGAAAATCTAGCTGTCTAACTATATCACACATTGTTCTATTAGTACGCATGTACTCAAACATTAATATTATTTATATTATACAAGTAATATCAACGGACGGACAGTGGAACTACTTTAGTTATACTCCAGGTGCTGATATTCCCATTAGATGCTTACATTGTACTAAATATTTAAACTCAAATACTGAACATAGGAATGGCGTGACTGTCGGTAGTCTGAACATATCTACACTGTTACAACACTTACGTTGTCTCAACTCAACGTTGTCTCTAAACTACGCTAGCAAGAACAATTAAGTATTCCTAAATAATCTCTATGCTACATCATCACACAATTGTCTACGAGGGAGATATACTGATACTTAATTAACGGTCCACTATTTTTTGTATTTTGTTCATGTATCAAGGTTATTGCAGAGCAGTGTTATCCCTAAGGCAAACTAGGCAGCTACCTAGGGTGCCAGGTTGGTGGTGGAGCCAAAAAATAAATAGCGACGCCTATGATATAAGCACAGCAGCTAGGCAAGCGCCTGGGGTGCTCTCTAAGTTTACCCGCCTCTGGGTTATTGTATAGTGGACCTTATTGAATATCACGTGTTGGACCGCTGGTCTAGTAGTCTAAAGCAGAGAAGGTGATAGGCAGCACAGCGACCGGCTCCGAGCACTTTGGCTTGTTGATGTAGATGCTCCATGTCCGCTTGTCTAGGTCGAAAATACCTGGAATACGATTTATAAAATGTCATTCCATTGATGTTGGTTGAAGAGAAGTATCAGAGTGGCTCTGGTATAGTGTATTCTTGTCCTCAAACATTACTTAGTTCTAGGCGAGTACAGTACAAGTACTGTACTATTATCAAGATAAGACTCAAGTGCTGGGATATATTTGGTTTAGATTTGTTGCTAAACAAACAAATGAAAAAGGAGAAACATAAACCTTGTTAGAATAAAGGGTGAGCGTACTATATGTACTAACTGTAAGCAACGTACCTGCTGCGATAGTCATGATGATGTCATCAGGATGATCCTGGAATAGGCGGAACTCCTTATCACTGGTGTCGGAGATGATCTCCGCCAGCTCCTTGCGAGTTTGTGGCTTGGGGTAGCTGTGGATCACCCTCAGGCGCGCCACACTGCTGTCTATGATGCGGCCGGTCACCTCCGTCAAGTTGGTACGTTGGTATCTGTACGCAGGTACACGTTTAGTTACAATAATAGAAGGAAAAAATGAAAGATAATATATAACACATAAAATCGAATCAATTGAAATGTTTGTTGAGATAGGTACACGTAATACATTTCTCCCGCTGCGCTTGCGGTTACCTGTAGCCTAGGTATTTAGGTGGCTCCATAACTTGTGGGTAAATGTACACGCTAAAGATTTAAGATTGCAAAGAAGGCGTCCTTATAACCTATCCACTGGTAGCACAGTGACGTCACTTACTTGTTGGTGTGCACTAGCGGTTCCTTGTCATACTTCTGCACGTTGAGGTGCGAGCGGTCTGCCTTCAGGTCGGGAGACACCTCGACGTTGTATATCTGCCGGTCGCCCCAGTTGTTGGTCCAGATCATGTTCACTGAGAACCCGTTACCTATGCCCAGCCCCTGATCCAGCAGGATGTGCTCAGCTTCCTCGAAGTTCTTGGCTGCCAGCATGGCGCGGGTGATGAATGTCCTGGCTGGATACCAATATGATTATAATAGTAATAATGATATAATTATAGCTGGTTACAATTTTAGGATATTCCATAGATTAATATGCTACTCACGTGTGTTGCCGTACTTCAGGATGAGAGGGCTAAGGGTGTTGATGGAGAAGACCAGCCCGTTCTCGTTGTAGCCCATGGTGTACCCGGGCATGTGGCCCGCGTAACACAGGGACGCAAACCGTTCCTCTACCGCCTAATCAATAATTTATTTATTTAATTATGTGTATTAGAATAACAATTAACATAAAAATCCTAAACAACTTATAATGTCAGTCGGTAGCGATAATAATTAGGTTCTTACATTATAATTCACTAGCGACCCGCCCCGGCTTCGCACGGGTGCAATATGCATGTATTATATATCTATATAAACCATCCTTAAGAATCACTCTATCTATTAAAAAAAACGGAACAAAATCCGTTGCGTAGTTTTAAAGATCTAAGCATACATAGGGACAGACAGACGTCGGGTAGCGACTTTGTTTTATACTAGTGATTATGAATTAGTATGTAGTGATTGGTATAGGTATTGTATTTCTATTTCAAGTAGTTAATAATAAATTATGCTTTTCGGAAAACTTATTCTCTAATGGATTTAACGTCATTTCTAAACAAAAATATTTTACAATCACACATCAGTAGGGCCGGCTGTAATGTGGCTGGCTACTGTGTTCTCTTAATAAAGCATTCAGTAAGTATAATACGGACGGTGACTATTTCACACGGTAATTCTGGTTAACTAACATGTGGATGTTCTGATACTCACTCCAGCTTTGACGTCCTCCGGCGAAGGTTTGATGTGAGCATTCATGATGTAGAAGTGGTTCAATGTCTCGTGGAAGGCATCCTCTGTGTGGCCCAGCAACGTCTGGAAACATGACAAAAACATATAGTCTCAATAAACGTAGGAGCATTAAAAGTTGCCAAACACAAAACCTTGCTCCACTATGTCCATGTATGCCAGGTGTGAGTGTGTACAGTAACATATACATATATTGCTACAAGTTATGTTATATGAGTTCCATGTATAAATAGCTAGTTAGCCATGTGATTCTGGAAATATTAGAATCGGTGTTATCACCGAGTTATTATAATATATTACTACTTTGGACGCCTCACACATTTTCCTCCTACTCCTTTATACCTCACTGGTTTATTTAAGTTGTTGTGCCCGGCAGGGTTCATGATTGTTATGACTATATATATTATATGAATTAATATACTATTAAAGAATGCAATAAAGCAATTGAACTTGATTTTTCAACTAGATCAACGTTAGTTCCTTCATTGTATGTAACACGGAACAATTAGTCTTACAGTCTGCGAGTTCTTGAACGCGATGGAGCTGCAGCCGCCGGTGTCATTCCTGGGGATGTGGTTGTCGTTTACGTTGCCGATCAGGTCATCCATCTGCAGCAGGAACAGCTGCCGAGAAACGGAGACGATCAGAGATATGCATCCACAAAAAGCTATTAATAAACATTGCTATTCGATAAATGACGTTCACAATATCTTTGTTAAATAAATTTTTGTTTGGATTTGCCAATGAAATGGGATACATAGACAGTTATATAGAGACATATTTTATGTAATAATTTGAAGAAAGCACCATTAAAAACAAGTCTAGTATTTCAAACCTGCGTGAAGTTCACGTTGGCTCCGTCAGCGACTCCCTGCATCTCCTTGACGTAGTATGGGTACTTCTTCTTCATATTTGCCAGTGTTGTGTCGTAAGCCTTCCTGCCAGTGTCTGTGGCGTACACTTTCTCGAAGTCGCGCAGGTTCTCATATGTCGCGATGAAGCTCTTGATGATCGACGAGAACGTACGGCCCTGGAATTTATTTGTTTAAATGGAGAGCTTGAACGGTTCAGCGCTATTTTTAACATCACGCATATAATAATTATCAGTTATCTTTTACTAAGTTATAGTAAATCGAAGAGGTCGACATAGAGTTTTATTTTAAATGCAACTAACTACTTATCTTATCTTCACCAGTCCCTGAGTCTATACAATTTGTATTTTTTAGGACTAACAGTGTGTAGGGCACTTACGACATCATATCCGACTTCGTAATGTGTCCCGCTGACGTGGATGACGGGCACTGCGACGCGCCTGCCCAGCGGCTTCTCACAGGACGCGCCTGGAACAAGTCATATCATATCGTTACTTGAATTTTAGATTTATCGTTATAGTCCAAATCTATAACTTTAATACTCGTTAGAGACTTTACGCTTGTAACGCGATGCTACAATTGCCAACTATATGGACACGCAGCAAAATCATGCAGAGAGATCAACTCATCGTGTGGCCACTGCGGAGAAGCAGGACATGTACAATCCTCGTGCACTAAAAAGTTGGAATCCCCTAAATGTGCTACATGCTCTCGTTACAATAAGCCAAATAAACATAAAACCGGAGACATTGACTGTCCGGCTAGGAAAATAGCTGAATATAGGTATATCAACTCTATCGATTATGAGGACGCGTAAAGTGTCATATTCTCAGATTATAGAGTTGATTAGCCTTTCCTTGCACATTAATTAACAATTTGTTGCTGTTCAAGCATATTTTATTGTGACATCGAGTGAATGACCGTTTGGACTGTAAACTAGATTATGTTTCTGTTGATGTATCAAATTCTTCAGTACTATAGTTCCTACAATGTTTTATATAAATATATATGTATCTCTATCTATGTTTTGCAATTAAGCTAATATAATTACTTGTTTAATAAATGTACTTTTACGATAATATTAATATTTAGTTACCTATCAATATATGTAGTTATGTACGTGTGTATGTATGTATGTATATTAAATAATCAACTTTACTTTAATTTTGATCGATTACTTATGTTAAGGAATTTGTTTATATAAATAACTTGTCCTAGAATTAGTAATATTGTGAGTGCTCCTTTCGCCTGTGATACAGGATATTCTTCCTAGTACAGGCATTCAAACCTAGTGAGATCTCTGATTTTAAATTAAGATGTATATCTGTACCATGACCAATTTCTTATAATGAATAAAGATTTATTATTATTATTATTATTATTATTATTATTATTATTATATCAAATGTTTATCATAAGAGTATTAAAATATTTTGGCAAGTAACAACTTGCTGTTGTTTCTTCTCTGGAGTTGTGACATTTATGTTACTAGACTTGAACCTAGGACTCTAATGCCGGAATACTGAAACATTACTCAATTTTAAGTCGTGCCTAAATATCGTGCCATCTCTGTCAATTACAAAGAATTTGTCGAGACAGAACTATACTTAAGCGCGACTTAAAATTGAGTAGCGTTTGAGTATTCCGACATAAGCCCAGCAGCCATGTCTTCTCATATATGCGATTTGACTTATATGCTCTTACGCATACCTATAAGTCAAATCGCATTGCTCTGCTAAATATTCATATAGAGGTATGTACCTACTTGAGTAGAAACTCTAATAGAAGGCAGATCAGTTAGAAGTTAAACTTATCTATACATGTAATAAAACTGTAGGAATTAGTATTCTGTACGTAGGTACAGACTTTAATGTAGATTAAATTGCATCGGCGTAGCTTAGTAAAACTATCGATATATGGCTACTAAATTTGTTGACTTTTTTTATTGTCACAGCAGTCACACGTCAAAAAACAATATACTTATAATAAGGTGTACTTATTAAATGAAGATCGAGGGCTTAGGCAATAAAGATAATATCTACAGAAATAATAAGATCGCTGTCAGTGGCGGCTGGCGAGTTATTAAAATATTGTAATTAGAAAATGCAACAAAACAAAAACTGACATAAATATGTTTATTTTTTATACTTACATTAAAATGATAATGCGACGACATTTTTTCACCTTTTTATTAAAATCAGGTATTGTTTGTATGAACTTATTTTCAATACAACAATAATTAGCGGCGATCGCCAACCGACCCAATACTCGGTACATTTCTAAGAACGATCTCTTGTCTCACGCGTCAGGCGTGTTAACTCGTACTCCTACAAGTTATATTAGCAGACCTCGTGTACTCGCCGAAGCGCACGAAGCTTTGGAAAATAAGTCTTACCTAATAGTTTAGTAAAGCACTCAAACTGTTTCACCATAATTGATTATTTGGATTTTATACGTTTTTGTTTAAAAATAAATATTAAAATGGTAAAATAAAAATAAAGATGAAGAAGGTACCTAATATTTAGTAATTTTTAAATCTTTTGAATTTGTGGTTCGGCGCACGAGCGAACAAGTAAGGTACAGCCGCCACTGATCGCTGTAGTTAAATACAAATGAGTTCAATAGTTAAGTAGCGTAACGAAATTATGATTAAAAGCCATCTTTGTGTAATCAAATAGGTAGTTGTAGTATTTTATATCTGTAGTCTATTTTAGAAAACTAAACTGAAACAACAACGATTGCGTTGTGTTTTCTCGTGTGAGTGAGGTTACCGAATGCCCGATCCCCGATCCCTATCTCTAATCTTCCCAATTTCCCGACTCCCCAACAATACTTAAAGTCTTTCTCTCCTCTGGTGGTGGGAAACCCAGTGGGGAATGCCCTGTGTGGGCTTAGCACCGCCATGCCTTCAGGGACGTGATCGGCGACGGCGACCTCTCGCGTCCGGCCCGAGTGCGGGCCATGATGCGGAGCGGGGGGGAAGCAGTCATGGTAACTAAGGAGGAGGCGGGGCACATGATGCAGCGAAACGCTGCTTCCTCACAACCCAGCCGTCGCGAAACACACTCCGGGCGTCGGGGATCGCGAGACGATCTCCGGCCACCGTAAGCGCGGGCCTGCGGACGGTGAGCATGGGTGGTGCCGCCCGACCTGGGTGCTTACTCTTGAAACCAATCTCAATGTCAATGCAATTTCAATCCAATAAAATCTCAATAATCATTCAATGTCAAAACTAAACTACCCCTATCGTAGCTGCTAAAGTAGCATTTAGAGTACGGAATATAAAACCAAACTCAATACCGTTTAGTTCATGAAATATCCACGCAATACGGATGCAATGGGCGCTAGTGTTACAACTCAAGAGTACGAAATTTCACAAAGTCAATGCCGATCGATCGGAATTGGATTCAAGAGTAAACACCCAGGACCAGACCCGAGCGTAAAGCGAGTCGCGTTTCGCGTGCGCCTCAAAGAGGCATCAGACCACCACGGACGGAGGCCCAACAGGACTGATGCCGATACGGAGTCGCGGAGAACCTAACGGGTTACCGGGGCTTCGGCTCGAAGTGCAGGATTAGGAACGGGGTGGTTTTTAGTCAGTAAGAGTCTGACACTCCCTCCCTCCTCACCCAGGCGGGAGCAGCCAATCGATGAATTTCCCCCCTTATAAAAAACGCCTCTGGTGTTTCGTGTGTCCATGAGCGGCGCCAATTACTTATCATTAGGTGATCCGTCTGCTCGTTTACTGGCTTACCCCATAAAAAATATTTTCATACCAGGTATCTTTCTAAATGTTACGTAGACACTGTAACCCTGGGTCGTATATTAAGGAAACCTCGTAACCAACTAGCATTTCATTGAACGACCGAAAATGACGTAAAACTATGCTAATTTAATCTTTGAGTTTATTTAAATGCGATGGTACAAGTTAGTTGTACACAGATTTTGTCCACCTTCAAGGTTCACTCGGTCGCGGAAAGAATTTGTGCATCACACGAGGTGAACTCACTGCTTAACTGACAAGGTAACTATTTGAATATTAATTTTTCTATTTGTAGGATTAATAGACGCGATTGTCTCACTGTTGGTCCGATCCAAATCGGTGGCAGGAATTATTGGGCATTTTTCAGTTTTATGCAATATCTGAATGGTCTGGAGAATGAGCCTGGAGTTGTGTTCTATATGGCACTAGCCTCAGACTGACATAACGTAATTGGTGATAGGTGAATATTACAATTGAAAGACTTAGCCCCTTTGGGGAGGAAATGCAAACGTGATGTTACGTTAACAAGAACGTAATATAGAAGTTAATAAAGTGAATATAGAAGTTAGCTAATTTTAGAATATCTAGTTTCTTCAGTCGCTTGTTAGAAAAAGATAAGCTCCGTCAGCTTTTTTCCTGTGGTAAGTCTAAATATATATAATTCAAAGGTGACTGACTGACTGACTGACATAGTGATCTATGAACGCACAGCCCAAACCGCTGGACGACTCGGGCTGAAATTTGGCATGCAGATAGATGTTTTGACCTAGGCATCCGCTAAGAAAGGATTTTGATCATTTCTACCCCCAAGATGGTAAAATAGGAATATGAAAGTTTGTACGAAACTTTGTCAGTTCTAAACCGATCGTGTTGAAATTTGGCAGGCATAAATCTATTGAATCTAGAATCATTCACACGGACGAAGTCGCGGGCAACAGCTAGTTTATAATAAAGATAGAAATGCAAGGAGTTAGTCTTGTCATGCATGACGTCTTATGGAGGAGAACCGAGGATGAAGACAAGTTGTGGTGTCGTGTCTTCTCTATGTAACTTGGGATTCAAGGAAGGATGACAAGATTTTGAGACTGAAATTGCAAATCATGAAATGATGTGAAATTCCTGCATCAACTGATAACTATTTTTACGGAAACAATGTGTAGGTTAATGATACGTATTGTAAATATTTTAGGTGACATTTTAAGGTTCTGTTGTTACCACACATTGTGTCTGGGTATATAGCCTTCGATGGTTATCAAACATTACGCGATTTTCAAGCTAATGTGAATAGTATTGTAATTTTATGCAAACTAAGTACGGATTAGAATTTAAAAACAGTTATTTTGAGGAAAGATAAAATATAATTACCTACCTTCCTCGGAACTATGGGTCACATTGACCCAAAACTGAAATGGAACTGATCGTAAAACTCGTAATTATTTCTTTTATTTACGACTTCGTGACAATTAATAATTTTGTATTCACTATATATAATTATTACACGGTAAAAAGAACCTAATATATTGTATTACATTAGGTAAGTAAATAACAGACCTTTTTTCCAAAGGGTAAGCAGGACTGGACATAAATAATACAACCCGCCTCTTATTCCGGTGTTCAAAGTATTCCTTGACACACTAAGGCCCATTCAATAGGTAACCTATTGCTTTACACGGACACATTTGTAGAAAGTCAATTTATTATCACCAAAAATCAAAAAGTCATGGTATACTTTTATATAATATAGGGATATATGGAAGAGGAACAAGCGAGTAGGCGTAGCCCATGACTTACCTGATGGTAACCATCATGCAACCACGATGCAATACCTGTATTTGAATAACAGTGCTCGTGTGCACCGATTGCAATCAGAATAATTGGTGAATTTGACCATCCAGGTCGAGAATCATGAGCAATGGGTAATTTCAGAAACAATTCGACTTTTAACAATTCGTTTTCTATTAGGTACATTTTCCTTGCTTTCATGTTTTTAAGGAATTTCCAGAGGGAAAAGTTAATGTGCCTATCTGTATTTCCAGAATGAATCAACATCGCCATGTTACTCGCTTATTTTGTACTAACAACCTCATTTTATCTGCGAATTGAATCTATTGCAGCGATATTACTCCCTCAGTTATTAGTAACAGTGACATTAGAATAAAATTAATAATGTTTATGTATTACTCGTATTATGTAAATCCGTAACATTTCGTAAGTATCGGTGACATTGGCGTAGGTCGCGGTCGCGGGAGGTCCCTCTAATACATCAAACCTATGAATGTCATGTGACCGCTCGAACTCACATTTTGTGGTTGTTGTGCAATAAGACCTCATTTGTGTCGTAATGTTTACTAGCAAAACGGAAGAAAATGTTCATAATTAATTCCGAATGTTAAGACGTAATTACACATGATTAAGTATCTCGCTTCCCTGTAGGTAAAGTGGGGGAGTTTGTGAATAGTTTAAATTTAATGAGCCTTCCGATAAACTAAGTATTTTAAAATGGATAATTTTATTTATTTATTTATTTATTTATTTATTTATTTCTTTATTTCAGGCAACTGTGGCCCATATAAAATATAATACACAAATAAAAATACAATATAAAACTAAAAAATTACAAATACCAAAAAATTTAAACATCAATAAACTAATAGATATACAATAACAAAACTCATAATTATAATTATTGCACACGAAGAGACGGCGTCGTGTTTCGCTGACTGGTATCACGTAGCCGGCCACGGAAACGCCGATACACGATACCCTTCGGCCAAAACTGTTCCTTGAGAAAGGTTTCAAGATCATGTGTTGGAACCCGCACCACGAACGACTTGAAGTTAATATTGTGGCGCGACTCCAACTTCTCTACTCTCAAGATCCAGTTCGTCTTCACTCGCAAATACTCCACGACATCCTCTGCCTTCGTGGAGTGATGCAGTCGGGACACGTACAGCAGCGTCGTGGGTGTCGCTGGACGCAGCAGCATGTTGGGTCCTGCCAGCGCGGTACCGCACTGGTTGCGGCAAAGAGGCTTCTTCTTCCTTTCTACCTTAATGAAGCCCTCATTGTCATGCTTGTCCTTTTTCAGACTAGGCTGGTTTGCTTGACCCCGTTTTATATTGGCCGCTTGCTTTTTCTGCGACGATTCAGTTTGGTTATCGGCAACGATATCTGCATAGGCACGTTTAGGGGTCAACGTACCTACACAAGCCTGTACTTGCACCGGTGTCGAAGCGCAGGCGGCGGTGGCGCGTGATGCTACGCTTGCAGTTTTAATGGGTGACGCACTCGCCACCAACGAACTGCTGATCGCAGCGTTTTCCGCTCCATGTCGTGTGTTCATATTGGAGGCGTCAGGTGACCCAGTTACCGAAACAGCGCTGCGTAACAGCACTACCTCGGCACGTAAGTCACATATGGTGTTATTTGATACCTCCAATTTTGACTGCAGCTCGGCCAGGCTAACTTTGAGGGATGTAATGTCCTTAAGAAGCCTGGTTACGTCGACGTGGTCAAACGTGATGGGCGGCAGTTTGTGCAGGTCCTTCACCACGAAATCGGGCACGTCATCCGGGTCAGTCTCTTTCATCAGGGTGATTATGTCCTGGATACTCTTCTCGGTACCATCTCTCCGGCGAGACGGCATCTGGTCGATTTTGCCGAGCGTCTGGAACAACAGCAACTTAGCACTGCATATCTCTGCTTCCTTGAAGGCAGACTTGCAGATCTGCAAGATGCTGATCTCGTCCATATAATCAATGGCATGCTTCAAGAATGCCAATAACTCGTTTGCTATGAGAGGTTTAGAACTCATTGCTACGTACACGGGCAGCGGCTATAGCCGCGCAATTCGCGAATAAAATATTCGTTGCGAGCAGCGTACACACGTCCGTACTCGACTGTGCATCGCGGCCGAAAAAAAAGTAAATAATGGTTTTAAGCAATATCTTTTACCAATAATTTGTATTATACACACAATTAATGCATTACATTACAAACAAGCGAGCACAAAGTAAGATAAACAATAAAAATAAAGTAGGTTTGTCTAAAACGTAGTCGTGTAATTGACGGAGCGCCACCTAATACAAACACATACACTTGAACTTTAAAAATCCCCGCCACTTAAATACTTGTTAAAAGAAGAAAAACAGAGCAAATCTAATCATGACGTAATGGCGGAATTATTCACAGCCGAGATACGGTTGACTGTTTGAAGACGTAAACAAAACACGAGTGAGTGATATCCATGCCGCAAGAGTGATTCTTAACAATGGACATACAACCTATGTACTATATACTACAGGTGCCCATATACCTGTCAGTGCTATATTTATTCAACCGACCCATACAAGCACGCAGCTGTTGTAATGATAGCCAATTATCATCTAATTCAGTCAAAACACAAGGACTGTTACCAATATACTCGAGTGTGAATCTTCCCATTAGGTTAATAGACATGCAATCATTACAATACTGCAATTTATATGTTGTAACTATAGTATTTTGAAGATTGGAGGACCATGTTATGTGAGAATTAAATTGCTATTTCCCCAGTCCCCGATTTTTTAAACTTTATCTTTTATGGAATCAAAACACGAGACTAATGATTGAGGGTGTGTACGCAAGCATCTTAATAACTCCTTACCTACCTGTAAAGTTGTACTTCTCGACTGTGGCAGTGACAGATATTATCTCAAACTCAATAATAATACGTACGTACACATACCGTTCAAACAAACGATCGATATAATTGCTGACTATTAGACACAGCTGTTACAAATAACAACAAAAAATAATACATAACAACATGAATGAATTCAACTCACCGTTCAATTCTCTCATGGTTCCGTTAAATAAATTAAAAAGAAAACGAAAAATAAATAAACTACAGGACGAACGTTAGAAACGGACGCGATACGAGAATCAACAAAATTTAAAACGTTTCTATTTTAATTCTCGACTGATATTTTATGTATTTCGTAACTGCGCCGGCGACGGACGGCGATACACTGCGCATTGTTACAGGGTTGTGTCTAATATAACAGGCTGTCTATCAAGGATATTAATGTGGCTAGCATTCATTACGAACAGCTACCAGCACAGTTACTGCTGGCCAACCTGGAGTACAGCTTGGATCCTTGGGTTTGGAGGTCTCATTGGAATTTCTTATCGATGTGATACTAATCGGTTTCGTAAGCTTCTTTGGATTGGCCTAACAACACAGTAGAGATTCCTTATATATAAACTGTAATATTTCTGAACGTTATAATTAAGTCAGATACATGTTAATCCTAATTTACCTTCCGGACAATGATAGCTTTAATATTAGGTAGGTAGCGCATTTCGCATACGACATAGGCAATACCAATACCTTCACCGAACTAGAACAATATTGCTTTCAGCTTGGAGACAATGTTAAACACGATTCATTAACATAATATTATTACTAGTTTCTTTCTGCTGTTTTGCTTGACTAATCTTGAGAAATAACTTGGTTAGAGAGGTAATAGAGAAGTGGAAGAGGGGTTGCAAAATGTGTTTGTATTTCTACGATAGGCAAGCAGCATATCCATTAATAGGCCCACGATTTTTTCAATAATTGGTAATGTACTCCACGTTGGCATCATAAAGAAACATATCGATTACTTCTCAAGAAATTCTTTATTTGAAACTCTGGTTCGTGTATTTGTAAGCTACACGTTCCAAGTGTGTTCTTTTGTATCCAAATATTCTGCTATTGTCTGGTATGCAGATAGATATGCAAGAGATACTTTACTATGTACATAAGTGTACTAGGTATTATGCAGACAAGTTCAGTCACGCGAAATTCTCGAATGCCCGTAGTCCGAGCGCTATGCAGGCTCGGATTTAGAGCGGATCGTATCTCAAATCTTAAGTAACTATATCACTGGAAAGTACTTAACTACCTGTAGGTACCTAAACTTAATTACCTGTACAGGTATTGTATAGAGTAGCGAATAAATAATGCATATGACGTACACGTGCTGCGTAGGTATACGTTCAAGGACCTTGCTGATAGCAAGCATAACATAAATTGGGTATGAACTCGTCCAGAGATCGAACATGATTTGTTTTTATGATTATTATAAAAATATATGTGTTATAATTACTATGTATATGTTCTGTGCCGTGCCTTCAAATCTCTGACGGGATGGGCAAAGGTGCAGCCTCTCAATGACGTAGTTGATCTAACATTTTTAAAACTAGACTATGTTTAAAGGCCGTCAACACACGTTGCTATGTTTTCGTGGGTGGTCTCACCATCCTAAAAAGTTAATATTGTAATAAAACCATCATCTTTTCTATCTTATCAGTTCTGGTTTATCATTCGAGAACAGTTTTAATAAGTACCGTATGTCTATAACTATTGGTTTTAGGGGAGTTGGAAAATGTATGTAATTATTTGCGTATATTTATGTGAACTCTTGGCGCAATCACATAAAGGCCCGTGGTACACTCAGAACTGCATCGGAAGTTGTTGACAGTGAGTTGACTTCTATTGTGATGGCAATATAAGCAAGATATAGAAAAACATAAGAATATACTCAGTTAATTAGTTGTAAGATGAATAGTAGCAGAAATGAGTGCGACCTGAATGTGCAAGAAACTTACAAAGTCTAGGAAATAAGAGACGTATCTAGGTCTATGGAAAAGGCCGTAGGACAATAGTGTGGCCGAAGTACAAGGACTCAATAGGTCTCTGCATAATAATATGTCTATATTGGATGACAATGTACTATTTATATCCTCTATAACATAAAAAAGTATTATATTTTTTTATTGCTGACGGGCACTATGGGTAGGCACTTGGCGGCTATCTTGCCCGATGGTAAGCGATGATGCGGCCTACGTATGTCGGAGTGCGCCTGCCCATAAGCAACCTATTCATCTGGGACTTGACGACAACCACCAAGCAAGAAGTGTTGGGATCGAATCCAATATTAGTTCATTTATTATCCTTTTTATTTATAATTATAACGGAGCTGTTCACGTAAATGTAATATTCACTTATTTTTATCCTAGCTTTATCTTTCTTTAAGTTTCAATGATCATACTTGAAGAAAATCTATATCCATAACATAGTTATTTTGAAACCGAAACCGAACAATATTCAAATGCCTATTCTATATTTTTTGTAGTCAATCAATACCTCAGATATCAAGTGATGCTGAATCTAATTACATTTCAAATTAATCGATTACTCTACAGGCAACAAACTTTGAACTGTATTGTTTTTATCAATGAGTTGACAATTCACTGTCAAATAGTTCCTTGGTGCTGATATTACTTACATTCTGTTTGTTATTGATATAACATTTCCGTGTGCAGTTATTATTAATGAGGATATTGTCATTTTGAGAAAGTATTAATGTGTGCGGCACAGCCCTATTGAAATACTAATACATGCACACACATTTAGAGTAAACCTAGACTAAAACTGCAGAACATAACCTATCCTTACTTATAGTCTGTCTGTATATCTTCCATCACATACTCACTCCTACGTCATTCACTCCTATGTCGTCTAGCCTTTAGAATCTCTAATGGACCAATAGATCAAATAAGCTATTGGATTATTGTAGGATTAGGAATAATAGGATCAATCCTAAACCTAACCCACTTATGGTTACGGTTAAATAGTTGGTAATTCTATGTATATGAAAGATTACATAATGACACTCAGGTTTTGTGTGAGCTCGGCAGCTCGGACATCGTCTTGAACTTGAACTGTTTGGCCAACGCCACTGAGGCTGGCGGGCAATGAGCTGACATTGTGCAATACTTATACACAGACCAAGTTCATAACCATTTTGGAATCCGTAACGACTTCTTAAATGATGTTCACACTTTTTGCCATCGTAAGTTTTTAATAAATGGTGAGCCTATTGCGACTTTCGGAGACATCTAGTTTAAAACCGAAAACTAAGTATAAAACTATTTTTATTTTGAAGTTAAGAGTATATCTTTTACTTGGCAATGTTCATACTTCACGATTACTTGAATGACGAGTGAAAGGTAAAAAGTAAGTTTATTTATAAAGGAGAATGGTGAGTTTGAAAAAAATAATCTTGCCGAGCCCAAGAATTCATCGTTTTATAGACTAAGATACATGGTATGTGAACTTGCATGTTATACTAGTCACCCAGATGTCTGTGATGGGAAGCTTGAGATGATTCGTGTTCGATGTACAGGGTCTCGCAAGGCACGACCCTGGGACCACATTTGTGCAGTTTGCTTATCATCGGACAATGCCATGAAAATAAATATTCTTCCTAGTTCAAACAAGATGTGTTAAAATTAAATAAATACAGAAATAATCACATAATAAGTAACAACAATGGTCGAGTGTGGGTCTGGCCTTGCCCATCGACAATACAACTATTATTATAATTAGTCGGCCTATGTTAGCATTGACAGGCCGAAATCGAGTATCGCTACAAGGAAGACAAAATACTGCCTCGTAACTACAGGCAGAGGAACTGTCTACACCAATATGTCTATATCAAGGTGTAGTCGGAAAGGGGGAACGAAGTTTCTTTCTGTTGTACTTTTTACATAAAATAGACGGAGAATATATTTAAAAATTGTATCAAGTAGTATTTTTACCCGACTGCCAAAGAAGGAGGGTAATGTTTTTTTTCGAGTGTATGTAAGTATGTATGTATGTCTTTTCCTTTGTGACCACCTGTAGCCTAAACGGCTTGATGGATTTTGATGTATGAGGTATCGTTAGATTTGTCTTGATTACGGGAGTGTCATAGGATACATTTTATCCTAAAAGTCCCACGGGATAAAGACATAATAATATTTTTTCTAAATTTCCCTTTAAAAAAATATGTATGCGGTATCATTAGATTCATTTCAATCACGGGAGTAATTAATATAGGATACGTTTTTTCTCAAAATTCCCACGGGAACATGTTAATTCTGCGTCAACGCAAAGCAACTCATGCGTTAGCAAGCAAAAAGATAGGGCGTGGCCTGGCATGCGGCGCGCGGCGCGGTGCGGAGGGGGATATGCTCGAGTATACAGCCCGATTGCGGGCACACGCATGAGGGCACACGTCGTTGACGGTCGTCTCTAAATAGCGATTTTATTCGATATATCCCTATTTGTATATATCGAAATAAAAACAGCTAAAAAGTTATAAATAAAAAAATTATTATTAAAAAAACAAAATACCCGACTGCACACTAAAAAAAGAGTAAAACAAGCCCCACAATAATATTGATCAATCAAATGCTAAAAACTAATTATGTAATACCGTTTAAACAATACCTATATTAAAATACACTACAATATGTGTTCGTAATCGATAGTTAAATAAACAGAAACTTATTTTGAATACAAATTTACTGAATATAATTTATAAATGTTGATGGAATGCATCGCAGGCGGGGACCAACAGAGGCTTATTTATAGTCATTTCGGTTGTGCACCATTTAGCAGAATTTTCGTTGGTGGCGGTCAAGGTGGTCCCCGCCTGCGATGCTTTCCATCAACATTTATAAATTATATTCAGTAAATTTGTATTCAAAATAAGTTTCTGTTTATTTAACTATCGATTACGAACACATATTGTAGTGTATTTTAATATAGGTATTGTTTAAACGGTATTACATAATTAGTTTTTAGCATTTGATTGATCAATATTATTGTGGGGCTTGTTTTACTCTTTTTTTAGTGTGCAGTCGGGTATTTTGTTTTTTTAATTTTTGACTTGTGATAGAAAATGCAAGCGCAACACTAGCCCATGTTGTTGACAACGTCATACTTAAACGCAATTTTAAGATTTTAGTTTGAAGGGCTGAGTTTGGAAACATATAAAGAAGCAAAGGGGAGTGCTAAAAGTACGTCTTCACGTACATCATAATGTTATCAAATAGATTGGTATAATCAACTGAAAAACAACACGCGATGTTCCTGAACGTAGTACTACTAGTTACAACTGACGTAGAAGCTTGCTAGTCAAAGTCGTCGGTAGAACTCAC